CACAGCACAGTGCGAACTACGTTTTGGCAACCAAAGACGCGTACACTGGGGTGCGAGTTAATGCGCGGTTGGGGGGGTCTGAAAAGGGGAGCTCCCTCTCTCCCCACCCCGAGGACCTCTGCCCAAGCTGATGGTGCCCAGCCCCCAGAGGGCCTCAGGGGCTGTAGAGTCACACCTAGGAGAGGGGGTAGCTCACACCTTGTGGGCCGCACTGACCCTTCTCCCACGTGCCCTTGCCCGCCCCTCTGACCGCCGCCCGAGAGGCCCGACTTTAAGGGGCTGGTGAGAGCCCCCACCGTTGCGCCCTCACCCCACGCTGATATATCCTTTGGGAATGCCCATGGACTCTAGGGACCTGGGGGCAGCTTTGCCCGCGGGTGCCATGCTAGGCTATGGTAGCCATTCTCCCAGATTCTCCGGAGAGGCCGCAAAAGCGGCCAAGGCGGCCTCCACTCAAGGATCGTTGGGATTTTCTGGTGACTCAGGAAGGATAGGTCTGTACTGAATAAAAATCGGTTCCGTGCTGTTCGCCCCCGGCTACGCCTGGCACAATTTATTAGAAGTCGGGGCTTCATCTTCCGCCCGAGAGAAAAATCCCTCTTGCCTCTCAGCCCACTATGCCATAGCCGCCGAGACGGCGCGCTCTGCTGACTCTCATCTAGCACCCTCTTGGGGCCTCTCCTGACCGCTGTGGGCCTCTCCAGACCTCCTCTTGCCTATGGGAGTACCCCTCTCAGTCTACTTCCTAGGACACAGGCACAGGTTTGCATAATGCGAGCTCTTTCTCAAGGGCTATAGTGCAGAGAAGAAATGCGCATTAACTCGCACCGGGGTGTACAGTGTAGGGCCCGCCAAGACCGTCGCTTGCCGCAGCCGGCCGCCAAGACGTCATGCCCGCCTCTCGCTCCCGCGCCAACGCCGCGCGCCGCGTGCCGCCGCCGTCTGCTGACAGCGCGCCGGGTGGTGAAGTCCCAAAGAACGTCCTCAAGGCGGTGACAGACGGCCGCTTGGGACCGGTGCGATCGTGGCTGAATGACGGCGGGAAAGCCGACACTCTCGCTGAGCTACCCTCTCAGGTCAGCGGCCGTACGGTTCCACGCACCATGCTGATGATCGCCGCACAGCACGGGCACGCGCAGATTGTCGAGCTCCTCCTGAAGCGTGGCGCGGACATCAACCTGCAAACCAGTTGCGGCACCACTGCGCTGAACACTGCAGCCTACTGCGGCCGCGAGCGAATGGTGGACTTGCTGCTGCAGCACGGAGCGGAGTTGAACCCACAGGACTCCGCCGCGTGGTCGGCGCTGGCAACGGCTGCCAAAGGCGGCAAAGAGCGGGTGGTCGACCTGCTGCTGCGGCGTGGCGCAGAGATCGACCGGCAAGACAAGAACGGTTGCACCGCACTGGTTCTCGCCACTTTCTACGGCCGCCCCGCCGTCGTGCTCCGCCTTCTGCGGGCGGGCGCAGACATGACGTTGCGCGCACAAGGCAGGACGGCGCTGCAGTTGGCCAAGGAGGAGGGCCACGCCGAGTGCGTCCAGGCCTTCAAGACGTACCTCGGGGAGGTGGCTGCGCGCCGGAGCAAGGCGCCGTCGGCCGAGGCAGGCGGCGCAGGCGCGGCGGTGGGTGCGAGTGCCGCGGCCTCTGCTTCGAGCGGCGAGGGTGGCAAGGAGGCCGAGCCGAGCAGCGGCGGTGCGGTGCCAGAGGAGGTTGTGGACGCGGCTGAGCGAGGCGATGAGGAGGCGGCAGTGCTGGCGTGGGTCGACGGCGGCGGGCGGGTCGACGCGGCGTTCGAGTACCTCTATTCGAACGGCCCTGTGAGCGGCGTGACGCTGCTGGTGGTCGCAATGGCCCATGGCCACGAGGGGCTGGCCGAGGCGCTGCTCCAGCGCGGCGCGGATGTCTCGTTGCAGACCAGCAAAGGCGGCACCGCGCTGAGTCTCGCCGCCGCGAATGGCTTCGAGAAGCTGGTCGAGATGGCGTTGCGGCACGGCGCGGAGATCAACCAGCAAGCTCCTCTCTGCGGCACCGCGCTGATGACCGCCGCCGGCAGAGGCCAGGAGAAAGTGGTCGACACGCTGATCAGGCACGGCGCAGAGATCAACCTTCAGTCCAACGCCGGCGACACTGCACTGATTTGTGCCGCTTACCGCGGCCACCCCGCCGCCCTTCTCTACTTGCTGCGGGCGGGCGCAGACGTGACGCTGTGCAGTGCAGATGGCAACACCGCGATGCAGCTTGCCAAGGAGCAGGGCCACACCGAGTGCGTGCGCGCCCTCGAGGAGCATGTGGCGGCCGAGAAGGCGGCGGAGAAGGCGGCGGCGGAGGCGGCGTGGGCCGCGGGAGCGGCGGAGAGGGCGGCGCAGAGGGCGGCGGAGGAGAAGGAGGCGGCGCGGCACGCCGAGGAGCTGCTGGCGGAGGTCGAGGCGGAGAAGAAGAAGCGCGCCAAGGGCAAGAAGGGCAAGAAGAAGAAGAACAAGGGCGGCGGGGCGGGCGCGGCGGGGCCGTCGCAGGAGCCCGAGGAGGTTGCCGAGGCGCCGTCGGAGGCAGACGCAGCCGAGGCGGCGAAGAAGGCCGAGGAGGCGAGGATTCTGCTGCTCCTCGAGCAGCTCACCGAGGAGAGGATGCGGCTCAGCATCACGCCGGAGAGTCAGGCAGCGGTGGCAGAGGCGGCCGAGGCGGTGCGCTTGGCCGAGGAGGCGGACGAGGCGGAGGAGGAGGCGGATGCGGAGGAGGAGGCCGAGAGGGCGGCCGAGGCGGCGGAGGCTGTGGCCGAGGCTGCACGGGCGGAGTCTAGGGCGGCGCAGGCGGAGGCCAGGGCGGCGTTTGAGGAGGCGAAGGCGGCGCTGAGCGGGGCCGACTCGGCTGTTGAGGGGGACGAGACGGCGTTTGAGGAGGCGGCGGCTGCGACAGCGGCGCGGCGTGCTGCTGCAGTCGCTGCGAGGGCCAGGGCGACCGCCGCCAGGATGGCAGCGGAGGCGGCCCAGCGCTCATAGCGCGAGCTGCTCAGAAGAAGCGCGTGGCCACCACCCTGCGGACTCTCTCTGGGTGGAGCTTGGGAGCTTCCGTCGAGGACACGCTCGCCGGAGGGTCATCATGCACTGAGGTGTGTGCTTGGGTGTTGTCGCTGATCGCTTGAAGACGGGGAGGTCAGAGGGGGGGGGGGGGGCTTGTGGGGCGCCGCCCCGGGGGAAAAAGCCGGACACTGCGAGCCGCACCGCCCGCCCGCCGCGCGCGCGCGGGGGCCGGGGGCGAGGGAACCCTACAACTATCAACTTTTTCTTTCACGCTTTTCTTCTCGCACTTGCCACTTGGGTCTTGGGAGCACTTGGAGTGCAGTTATTAACCGCACGCCCAGGGCCGAGGAGCTAAAGAGCGCACCCAGAGGCCGGACGATTGACATCGGGTTACCGGGGCCCTTACGGTGGGGGGTGCGCGGTCGCAGGGCCATAACAAAAAGAAATCGCCCAAGCGCACTATCACTACGCCCAGCCGTCATGCCCGCCTCTCGCTCCCGCGCCAACGCCGCGCGCCGCACGCCGCCGCCGCCGTCTGCTGACAGCGCGCCGGGCGGCGAAGTCCCAAATAACGTCCTGAAGGCGGCTACGGACGGCCGCTTGGGACCAGTGCGATCGTGGCTGAATGTCGGCGGGAAGGCCGACACTCTCGCTGAGCAACCCTCTCAGGTCAGCGGCCGCACGGTTCCATGCACCCTGCTGATACTCGCCGCACAGAGCGGGCACGCGCAGATTGTCGAGCTCCTCCTGAAGCGTGGCGCACACATCAACCTGCAAACCAGTCGCGGCACCACTGCGCTGAACACTGCCGCCCACAACGGCCGCGAGCGAATGGTGGAGATGCTGCTGCAGCACGGAGCGGAGATAAACCCACAGGGCTCCGCCTGGGCGGCGCTGGCAACGGCTGCCCGGGGCGGCAAAGAGCGGATGGTCGACCTGCTGCTGCGGCGTGGCGCAGAGATCGACCTGCAAGACAAGAACGGTGGCACCGCACTGATTCTCGCCGCCTGCTTCAACCGCCCCGCCGTCGTGCTCCGCCTTCTCCGGGCGGGCGCAGGCATGAAGTTGCGCGATGCGGCGGGCGCGACGGCGC